GATCGTACTGTGGTTTATGATTATCATGATAAGGAAAAAAAAAAGATGGTTTCCACATTATATTGTGGTGTATCAGCATATGACACCTCCATTACAGAGAAGCGTTATGACATTGGAAACTACAATTTGAAAAGAAGTTCTTAATCATACAGCTGCATACTGTAATATGAACAACATTTTCCTGTAAATTACAAATGCAATGGCATTTTAGTTCTACTGAACTAGTTATCAAAGCAAATTAAAGTGTTTTGGTTTCTATATTATGGCATCTGCCTATTAAGGCAGGTTATACACAAATGTGATAAGTTAGTTGTCTGGTTCTTCTGTCTCTTCCTGCACCACCCTCTATTCCTGTTGTTTAATGTTTCCTGTTCTACATATTTAATCAAAATATGGGTGTTAACCATGCCTTGAATAAAGACGGAAAATGCTTTATAGTGCTTTAATCATGGCCTCAGCATGCCTCAAAGCACTTCACAAAAAATTGCGGTACCTGTTGTTATGTGAAGATATAGAAAATTCAGTTTGTACATAAGAATGTTTGACAAACACCAGATGGCATGAAATGACCTGTTGGCGCACTTGGTGATGGAGGAGTGTAGATCGAAATATGTGGGGAACTCCTTGTAAAGCTCAAAAACTGCCAGGGGATGTTTAACATCCACCTGAACTGCAAAAAACTGACATGGTGTAATACCTCGTCCAAAATTATAGGTGACAACTGACAATTCCGTACTCTCTAATAAAACAGTGAAATACCACTGTAGATTATTTGTTCACTTCTTGCAATGTGTTTTCAACACAAATTTCTCACTCGCATGAAGCGTCGAATATTACGTGGCCACGGCATGAGGAGGTCATATAATATAGAAAGGGTGGGTAGCCCATTAGCTTCCCACTCTCCCCTGAGCTCACCTCCACAATGCAGAAATAAATGCAAAATACTGGAGATCCTCAAAATCCGAAATGAAAGCAAAAAATGCTGGAGAAGCTCAGCAGGTCTGACAGTATTGGTGAAGACAGAAACAGGGTTAACGTTTCAATTCTGATTTGACTCTTGTTCAGAACTGAAAAGGGTTGGAAATTTTTTTATGCTTTTGACAGAGGGGGAGGAGGAGCTAGAGAAACAGATGGTGAGGGTGCCCACAGCAAAAGTTAAAGCAAGTGCTAGTAGTGGTAAAGGAGAGATAGAGATGTAAATTAGATGTACATGATATCAAAAGGAGAAAATGGGTCCTCTCTGCTAAGTGCAAAGTCCAACAAGACATGGGAGTGGGGGAGGGGAGTTGTATTCAAAATAGAGGACAGAAATCATTCTCTGAATTTGTTGGAACTAAATGTTGAATCCAGTAGGCTGTAAAGTGCTAAGTGGAAATGTTGTTCCTCCATCTTACATTGAGCTTTATTGAAACACTGTAGTGAGCCCAAGGTCAGAAATTTTAGGATGGGAGAAAGATGGTCTATTAAAAAAGCAAGCAATCGAAGGCTGGTGGCCATTCTTAAGGTCAGACCAGAAGTATTCCACAAATCAGTCATCCGGTCTGTATTTGGTTTCGCCATTGGAAAGGAGATTGCATTGTGAGCAGCAAGTACAATAGACTAGATTGAAAAAAGTACGAGTAAAATGCTGTTTCACCTCGAAGGTGTGTTTGGGGTTTTGGACTGTGAGGAGGGAGAAGATGAAAGTGTTACACCTTCTGTTCAGTGGGGAAAATATTAGCAGTGATGGAATAGTGTACCACATTATCACAGACGAATGTTCCCTGTGAACTGCTGACAGTGGAGGGGAGGAGAAAATGTTTTTTGGCAGTGGTCTTCTGCTAGATGTAGCGGAAATGATAGACGACGATCCTTTCAATGTAAAGATAGCTGGGGTGGAGAGTGAGGATGAGGGGAACACTATCGTTCTGAGTAGGAGGGGGAAGCGTGAGGACAGAAGATTGGGAAATAGACATGGCTGATGGTGCAATTGACCACAATAGGGGGAATCCATGGTTGAGGGGAAAGAAAGGTAGTCTTGTCAGAGGCATCCCAGTGGAAGGTGGTATTGTCAGAACAGATGTGACAAAGATGGAGAATCACAGAATCCCTACAGTGCGGAAGCAGGCCATTTGGCCCATTGTGTCACACTGACATTCCAAAGAGTATCCCACCCACCCCCACCCCCACCCCCACCCCCACCCCCACCCCCCTACCCTATTCTCCTAACCCTGCATTTCTCATGGCTAATCCACCTAACCTGCACATCTTGGACTTGAGGAGGAAACCCACACAGACACAGGGAGAACATGCAAACTGCACACAGACGGTCAGCCAAGGCTGGAATCAAACTCCGGTCCCTTGCTCTGTGAGGCAGCAGTGCTAACGACTGAGCCACCACAAAATGGGAGAATGGAATGGAATCCTTGCAGAAAGCAATCTGTTCTACTCGCTTCTCCTCCCCCTGTTTCTACATCATGACATCACCATCTTCAAGCCCACTTCAGGCCTGGAAAAAGTCATATCAGCTTCGAAACCTTAATTCTGTTTGTCTCCCTAGGGATGCTTCCAGATCAGCCAAGTTCCTCCAGTACTTTGTTTTCATATTCCATAATGCAGAGGTGATGTGTGTGCCAAAATCAGCAGTTCACCCACTACACATAATTAAATAATTACAGTTCAATTGATCCTGATATTACCCTACCCACACCACAATATGGTTAGCGAGGGCGGTTGGGCAGGAGATGGATTAGTTCTTTTAAGTTGGTTAAAATATCAAGAAGGCATGGGATTGCTGTCATTAGAGGGTGCTCCTTTTACACTAGGGGCATCCCCAGCTTCCTTTTCACCAGCGCATTCTTTAAAATCCAACTCCTACGAACCTCCCCAAGAGTCGCCAATCCCCACTCGGAACGTAGCCCCTCGACTTATCTGAATTCAGGATCCGTGGTGCCTCCCACGTTGGCTTTAATGTGGGGTACGGTACAGTACATGATTGTTAGACCTACCGGGCAATCATGTAGCAGATGCTGAGGGCAGGGCATCCTCCCCGTCCTTTTGGAAGCCCCATTTATTTTGCCGACTTCCAGTGCTTTGTGGCTGCAGAGTGGGCTTCAAGCCAGCCAGTCAGTTGGCTGCCGATATTTCTTTTAAAGTGGTGAGCTATTCGTTCTCCTGCCCATCCAAAAAAGCTACAAAGCAAGAACTTAAGAGCCAATTTTGCAAATATATGACCATACCACGACAGTATAAAGGATTGGTCCTTTAACCTGCCATTACAAGATAAGTATTAATTCAAATATTCCATGGTGAAAATAAGACCTGGGGTTTTTTTTAAAAGGCTTCCCCATAGTCATTTTAGAAATCTACTAAAAGTTTGCATAGTATTTCTTTTCCCCCTTTCCGGTTTTTGACAAAATTTCAAATATTTATCTTGTGAAAATAAAGATTAGTAATGTTTCAGCCTTATTTAACTATTGTTTAGCATTCATAATTCTCCAAATTTTTTTCTGAGGTCTTTTATCTCAAGGGCTGGCCATTCTCACGACACTTTATGTATTGATTGTTCCTCGAGTCAGACTGAAGCACTGAATATAAAGGAAGCTCTTTTGTTGACTGAAAGTAGTCCCCAAAAGTAGTCTTGATACAGCCACATCATATTTTACATGTGATATTGTTGTCTTAATGACAATTGTTCAATTTGAATTTCTTGCTAATTTTGATGTCTTGTTCTATTCCCCTTTCTAATGAACTAGAGTGGGCATAATCATAAGCCTCTCCTACCTCTAACTTTTCCATTTTAGGGTCAAAATCCTGGAATTCCCTCCCTAATTGCATCCTGGGTCAACCTACAGTAGCTGAACTGCAGCAGTTCAAGAGGCAGCTCAGCACCACCTTCTCAAGGGCAACTAGGGACGGACAATAAATGCTGGCCAGCCAGCAACACCCACAACCCGCAAATGAATAAAAGGAATTGTTAAAGAGTTGAGTAGATGAGAGAAAATGTGCAATTTCAGTTTGTTCACCCTTTATTGAATGGGCCAGTATTACATTTGATTTGCTGTTTTTGGTGCTTTCTTACTAAGTGCAAACAGGTTGTTATGTTTACCCACATTGACAACAGTGACCTTGCTTCAAGGGCAGCAGGAGTGACATTATCTGCTGCAGGGACCTTGTTTTCAGTATAATGTTCAGTGTTGTCTCTGGTATTTAAGCAAAGTGATCAGACTGTCTTGAAAATAGCAGGATTTTATTCTGAGAACATGTTGAACTAGAGGGAGAAGATTGTAATGGCTGTAATAATTTATGGGAATAAATTAAGACTATTACCAGAAGCAGTCTGGTCGAGATAGTATTGTTTGTGATGGCACTGGATTTAATAAATTAAGAAAAATTACGTAATATACAATACTGTGTGCCATTCATTGATAATCAGGCTGTTGTATCTTTCTTCTTGCACATCACTAATTCCATGCCTTTTAAAAGTACTTACTGCAGTCTGTGGGTGATATTTTGATAGTGGGGTTGACTTGTGCCATGAGAACTAAATATAAACTAATTAGGGGCTATTTTATGCTGAAGTCAGGATACAGCTATATAGTATTTGAATGTTTGGGGGAAAGATCTCGTACTTAGCATAAATGGGAAGTCATTTAATATAGTGATATACTGGAATAAGAATTATCCTTAATCAGGTGAGAATGTAATTGGAATTAACTGTCTTCTGAAGCCAGCAGAATATTGTGCATATTGCCCACAAAGATGGCATAAAAGTATTTGAGATTGAAGACGGGAGCATCAAATATGCGTATTATGTAGTGTAAATCCTTCCCCCATTTTTATTTTCTTTGTATTAAAAAGCTCGTGTATTTTCTAAAACGGTAGCCGTCTTTTTGTTTTCTTTTAAACAAACTATGAGGCAGGACTCAGTGGAATGGAAACTGATCTCCTTTTGCAGCATCCCATCCCCCTCTCCCCCGCCTCTAACTGCTGTTCTGCTGTGAATGCTGCAAGAGAGGCAGGCCAGGACAAAAATGGCTGTGGTTGCTACCTGTTTGTGGTTGATTGGTTGTTTTCCTCCTGATTGCTGCAGGCACGGAAGAGAACAGCCGCTTATCAAGCACTTCAAATCTAGTTTGTTCAGTGTAGCAGCCCAAGAGAAAATGGCTGCTGTCTGCCTTGTTTGCAAATCTTGTCCTACGCTGACTGTTCAAGAGAAAATGAGACTTTGATCATGCAAAGTCTGCGTGTGGATTCCCTTGTTTTAAAATGAAACGTACAGAACTCTGACCTGCCACTACAAAATGGTTTGGATAGCTGTTTGGACCACGCTGTTAATCGAATTTAGGTAAAATAAATGCCTGTTGTTTGAAACCTGCTGTAATTCAAAGTTAAGTGAAATAATTGCTGGAAAGAAAATGTACCAGAGTTAGAAATGGTAGTAAATTAAGTTGTCTTGCCAAATTGTGCACTATAAATGGATTATAGAATTGGTAAGATATAGTAATCTTTTGTTCAGACTTGGTATTTTAATTTGTAAACCAGTGAAACAAATTTGGTACAGAAACATCTTGAATACTGATGTTTTAAAGTAATTAATCATTTGATTAGATTTAATGTACGACTTACTGTTTTTCCTTTAGGGTGTAATGGTTCAGTAGGATTACATGCGTTAACCCTAAAAAGGAAATTGCTGCCACAGTGAAGATACACGTTAAAAGTATTATAACAGATCTCTGAAATGAAATGGTGCCACATCACTATTATGAATGTCAGTTCCAATACTTGTCAGGAATGTCACTACAGCGGTGGCCTCTACTACAGTACTGAAGCAGCTTGTATCAAGTCACAATGATAGCCTGTGTAACTGTGACAGTGGAAAACAATCCTCTTCACTCTCCTCAATCTATCTGGAGCCTTTTGGCATGATTGACCAAACCATACTCACGCAAAGCATCTTGATTGTCATCAAACTACTTGTTTGATTCTATTCTTACCTATCCACTTGTAGGAAGACCTGCCAATGATTTCTGTTCCCTGCCCCAAGTGGCTACCTTTGCTATCTCCTAGGATCTCTCATCAGCCCCATCCTATTTTACATCCACATGGTGCCCTTGGTGACATCATCTGAAAACATATGGCAGTTTCTACATGTAGGCTTACAACACCTAGCTGTACCTAACCACCACTTTACTTGACCTCCTGCCCCATTTGTAAATTGTCTAACCACTTGCCTGATGTACAATACCAGATGAATAGAAATTTCCCTCACTTAAACATTGGAAAAACAGAGGCCTTTGTCTTCAGTTCCCATGGCAAATTCTATTTCCTGACCGTTGATTTAGTTTCCTTCCCTTGTCTCTGTCTGAGTTTAAATCAACCTCTTTGCAAATTCATGCTGTATTTGCCACCAAGCCGAGCTTCCAAACACATTTAACCCCATTATTAAGAACACCTACTTCTACCTTTGTAACACTGCGTAACTCATTACGGCCTCAACTGTTGGGATGCTGAAAGCCTCATTTGTCTTTGTAACCTCTGAACGTGACTTTTCCAGCATACCCAGGTCTGTTTCTTAACAACCCCCTTTCACACACACACAGACACCCAACTCTGCTGCCAAATTCTCTTCGCCCATAACCACCCTGCTCCCAAAAAAGGAACACATCGATTTTAAAATTCTCATCCTTGTGCTGGATATTATATGTCCCTGTCAATGTGTTTTCACCTTGACAACATGCCAAATAGGTCAGGTGGCATGCTTTCCTGGTCACACTCATAATACAGAGGGTGGGTAGGCACTGCAATCAGCAGCTTACCCACCGTGTAAATAAATAATTAAGGCTCAGTTTAGCTTGCTAATATTTCCCTGCCAATGTTTGCATGAGCAGAGGCCTGCTGTGTTCATCCAGCACTGCACCTTGTTGTCTCTGTTTTGCATGAGCAGTCTGTTTTTGTTTTGAAAAAGATTTCAAAACTGTGGAAAAGGAGGAGGGCTTGCAATCTATGGATGGGTGCCCTTTGTCCCTTGACAAGACAGTATTTGCCCTCTTCCAATCCATCTGTACATTCCAAAGGGGAAAACATAATGTGGTATTCTGCAGATAAGCTCATGCAGGAGACCTGATGGATCTTGCAGCTCTGTTTTGAAGTAAACAAGAGGAGTCAGTATGTTTTATTCACCAGTTTTACTGGTTTTTCTTTCTGGGAACCCCACCTTACAAGGACCTCATTACCCCTGCCCCTAAAGTAGGCAAACACTGCCCACCCAACACCTTCACTCCGAGATCCATCAGGTCTCCTGTGTGAGGCAGTCCTCGCAGTGCCCACTACTGAAGTCTGCCACTCCTATTAACTGTTAGTGCAACTGGCCAGTCAAGTTGGCTGGCAGATTTGGAGGATGAGACTTCTTCCCCAGTAGGGCGTGGCAATCCAACTTTACAGCACTTCAGCTGTGGGATAGGTTTCTTTCTGATTTGTTGGCTCACTGCTGACTTCCTTGTGATTTTATATCCTGCCTTTTCAAATCCTGCCGCCCTTTCCCACAATGCCCCAGATGTGGTCTCACCAGAACTTTGTACAGTTGCGGTAAGACTTCTCAACTCTTATACTTCAACCCTGTTGAATTAAGGGCCAACATTTCATTAGCCTCCCTGATCACCTGCTGCTTCTATTAGCCTTTCTGATTTACCTCCTTTGGTCGTAAGAACTATATCTAACTTCGTTTTGAAAACATTGTGTTTTGGCTTTAACTGTCTTCTGTGGCAGAGAATTCCGCAGAGAATTCCATAGTTAGAAAGTGAGGCAGGATTTGAAAAGATAGGGCAGAAAATTATAAGGAAGTCGGCAGTGAGCCAATAAACCAGAGAGAAACCTATCTCACAGCAAGTGGGCTGAAGTGCTGGAAGGTTGGATTGCCACGCCTTACTGGGGAAGAGGTCCTACCCTCCAGAGCTGCCAGCCAATTTGGTTGCCCTCTCTATGTGAAGAAATTTCTCCTCAATTCAGTTTTAGATGGTCTAACCATCTTGTTAATTTGTGACCTGGTTCTAGGCTCCCCTGTCATGTGGAACATATCCTGTCTAGCCCTGTTAGAATTTTACAGATTTCATGAGATTCACAACCCCGCCCCCGCCCCCGCCCCATCCCCGCAACTCATCTAAACTCCAGTGAGCACAGTCCTAACAAGTCTCTCTTCATACGTTAGTCCTGCCATCCAAATAATCAGTCTGGTAAACCTTTCACTTCCTTCATAAACAGAAGATCCTTTCTCAGGTAAGGAAACCACAGCATTCCAGATGTGGGTTCATCAAGACCTTATGCAATTGCAGCTAGACATCCATGATTCTGTGCTTGAGTCCTATCACCATAAGGGTGACATACCACTTGTCGCCTTCACCACCTGTTGTACCTCATGTTTACTTTCAGCGACTGGTGTACAAAGACACCCTGGTTGTATTGCACCTCCTTCCTTTCCAGTCTATCACCATTCCGATGATATCAGATAACATCATCTGTCCCAATATCACTTGATGTGAGTCAGTGTCACTTTTTTTTAAATAATGCTCTCTTGACATGCCTTGGGGTTTTTTTCCTGTGTAGAGGAGGTGTCTAAATACAGATGATATTTATTGTGAGGTTGTAATCTCCAAGTATCCTGCCAGAGATATCTGATCTCCTGCTAGTTATTGATATTATTCTGGTTATTCTTTCATTTGTCGTGCTATAAAGAAACAACAAATTGTGGTGTAGAGTGACAGTTCCAGCATTCATGAGGAAAGTGAAAACTGTCGGGCCTTTATTACTGGTTTGCATGATTGGTTTACTTCTGCCAGCATACTGTTTCTCACTGTATCTTGAGAAAGTCTCTCTGACAAGTTTATGGTGTAGACAAAAGGAAAATAGAGAAAAAAAACCGCCAAACGATGATGAGAAAACTGCATTAATGTCAGTTAGCCATCCTCTGTGGTCCATTTAAGATTTTGTTGCCTATTACATTTATTTCGAAGTTTGAAGTGAGTTAATGACTGTTTTACAACTTGCTTCTAGTAAACTCACAAGTATGATTTGTCCAACATTATCAGTTATGCTCTGGTCTCTGCTGCTTTAAAGAAGTCTCTTTTAATGATATGATAAAGGAGAGTGGGGATAAAAACAAAGAGGCTGTTCTTAGTGCAGCTGAGATACATCCGTTGCAACATTAAGTTGTCTTTGCAGGCAACATGATATTTCAACGAAGTAATCAGAACATGCTGTTTCAGGTGGGAACCAACACAAAATGCAAAGCATTGCATCAGTAATGTGTCTGCACTGTCCAACTTTATTATTGTAGGATTTACACAACATCAACCAATTTAAAAATACTTCATCAAAGTCAATAAGCAGATTATATCCTACCCACTTCAGTATTAACTATAGAACTTTCAAAATATATACCTTCAAGTTGGATGACTGTTTTTGATTCCGATTGACTGATCAAAATGTTATCTTTAAGTTTACAGGTGAAAGTTGTAAGTAAATTTGTATCCATATTAACATTTTGACTACAGTACTTGCATGCATGGGTGTTAAACAGGAATTTACATTGGAATTCATTTAAATCATCCTAGGGAATAGCTGGCAGTTGATTGGCTGTAGAGGTTCACGCCATTATCCTTTTTGACTGCAGCTGAGAATACTTTGCTCTTGTAATGACGTGATGTCAAAACACTTTCAAATACACAAGCAGTTGGGCCTGTATAAATGAATCAGTGTTCAGTCAAAAAATTAAAGGGGCCAATGTAATTGGAAATTTCTGGACTAAGGAAGCCAATTACTGGGATATCACAGTTGGTGGCTGCCACGTGAACATTTCGTAATTTTCACAATAAACATGTTTTGGAACAGTTTCAGAGATGTGTTCTAGATTGAGTCTTTGCAACATATCAGAATATTCTTATGGTGACAATTATAGTCAGCTTTCAGGCTGTTGCTGGTTTCAGTACCCCTGCAATTAGCCCTTCTGCAGAAATCTGTCTGGTTTGTAAGCCAGAAACGCTAGACAACATTGCCAGATTTTAAAAAAGAAAAATATGGGGCATTTCACTAGAGACACTGTTTTGTCTGTTGCCTCACAAGTATGGATTTGTTAAAGCCTTTGCAAATAACAGGCTGCAAATGGAATGGGATTGTTTTAATTATGGGAAATGTTCAATCATCCAGTAATGAAGAAACCTTTTAAAAGATTAGAACACCTGGTACACTAAAATATATGCAACCGTGAGTAAAAGAAGATCTTTCAAAAAATATTTGTTGAACAGGGTTCTCAGAATTAAAACTGTTATAGTTCTGTAACACTTTAAACAAGAG